TTATTTTGCGAACATTAAACAATGTTGATACAGCAATAATAGTATAATACACAAGTGAGGAAGCAACTGTACAACAGTTTGACTGTGTTGAGAGTGATTGTATAAGGTTGGATTCAGGGCCGGGCCTCCTCATTGCCTGCGTGGTGTGGAGGGGGTGTGTAAGTTCCCTCTTTAATCATCTTCTCCTTCTGCTTACGGACCTCATATAAGCGCTGTTGCTGTAAGGAGTGATAATAGTGTTAGCAATGTAAAGAACCTCAAATACATTGCTTGAATATTTCCGAATGTGCTTACAGTCTTTCTGCGGTGCATGCACTCGTAGAAGTCTTCCAGCTCTAGTTTGCATTCCTTTTTGGCCCGGGTCTGGCCGATGCCGTGGGCGCACTCTATCCACTCCTTCTCAAAGGCATGGCAGCGAGCGACCCGCTTCTGTGGCTGTTCCCCGCTCTGAGCCAAGAGCCACTGGTCCAGATTAATACCCAGCCTTGACTGGAGGTCAACGAACGGCATGATTCTTGGAACTGAAAATAAACATTTCATGTAAAACAAATGCAATAATGCAATCAAGCTTAAGAACACCGAACAAAGCAGTTATTCATTTTTATATTAAATTACTCCTCAAGGTTTAGAAATTGCTAGAACTTTAAATAAAGGAAATCAAGCAAAGTGGTCATATGCAACTACTGAATATCTCCAAAACTTGTTTATTATTGACATGCGACATGTTGATATGTTTATTGTTGACAGCAGACATGCCTAAATTATTATTCCATATATTATAGCCATATGGTTTTATGAAGGTAAATTTAAAACTTTTTAAAGACCTTTTCAAGACCAAGTAAACAATATTTAAACAATAATTTTAAGGGAACACAGTATGTCAATGTTCCCAAATGAATTAACAACAAATGGTTAAAAACTACGAAACAAGCCTCCATTATTTTTTAATTCATTTCACACACACACACACACACACACACACACACACACACACACACACACACACACACACACAACAAA